TGTCAAGAAGCACACTGTGAATTAAGTACTGTATTTAAATGTTTCGTGCATCAGTGGCTCGGCGGTAGAATGCTCACCAACCATGCCTCACATGGTTTGGGTTCGATCCCCGGCCACAGACGCACCTATCTACCTCGCTAAGCCAGTAATAAGACTGGTAAAGAGGGAAGGTTGGGTATGAGGCTAGCAACTCCATGCCATAAAAATAAATACGGTTGCTAGTGAAACTCCAAAGTTCTAGCTTGAAGGCGCCCTATTTTCCACTAGGAACGTAGAGGAACAAAAAATTCTTTTTGCGAGTTTGACCACAGATTGATATCACTCAGAGAACCATTAAAAACAAGCAGGGAGTACTGGACAGCCGTCTCAGCAGTACGCACCCATCATCATCAGGATTCGAACCAACGACCTTCCGGTTACAAGGTAAGCTAGATCGTATACCATTCAGCCACTGGGACCCAATTCACTGGCCAGCCCATTAATTCTAATTCCTACCAATTCGTGATGCATTTAGCGTGACCGGCAACAACCAATGTCATCGGTGGGAAATCCATCCTCACACTTGACTGGTTGGACCTCACTGGTCACGACTTCCCACTAGAACTTCAGTAAACGCTGTCTTGTAGCAAGTCACTTGAAAAAAAGAACAGAGTTCAAAAACTTTGCATAGAAACAAATTCTAATTAGAAAGAGTAAATCAATACAATAGGTTACGTAACAGTAAAATTTCTGTAGGTAGAACAAACGATATCCTTTTTAAACCAGTGTAGAAGTCAGTAAGTTACTTTTAAAACCTACAATCTATTCTGTCTCTTAGAAAGATGTTTTCATTAAATTACCATGAAATGAGGAAATAAATAGTAAGGTTTTAAGACAGAGTCTCATCTCAGTCCAGCCATGCTTACAATTATTGAAAAAGTCAGAAATAGGCCTCACTACAAATCTCAAAAGTACACAAGTGATTATGTTACATCCTACACTATGTACCAATTTACATGTGTGTGGGTCACACATACATATAAGGAAGAGTAATCGTGCTTTGCATGTCACAGTGGAGGAGCTTATTCCTAGATACTTGGAAAAACAGTTGAACTTTGAAAAATCAACAGACACAGGTGGAATACTACCAACTTCGTCTATGACGAAGACGCTTAACTGATTTAAACCACGAGATTGATGTAATAAATAGATTTTTTTGTGGGTTTTTTGTAAAGACATTCAGGCGTCCTTATTGCAATACGCTGAGTAAAAGAGCAATTTATTATTACGCTTAACCCACCTACCTTGGTAATCCTTATCTGATTACATAATCAAACGTTGTGCTAATTATTCTTAAATCCTTTTTGTCACTTTGTGTACTTTAATTGGCCTTTGTTTATCATATAAATTGACTTGATAAGTAAGTGTGTGCGGGATCAGATTGTTGTTCAAAATTTATTAAGAAATATAATGTTCATCTTCTAATAACACTATCCAAATATAGGAGAATGGGTGACATAATCACAATTGTTTCTACTCAAAAAATATTTAAACTCTGTTCCTTTTTTTCAAGATTATTTGTGTAATTAGTCGATGAACAGTCTATCCTGTTAAATCTTAATAATTTTTCTCAAGTATTGGTTTTTGTAGGAATTTTGTTCGATTGGTTGGAGGATTTCATCATGAGCTGACATCAGATAGAGAACCGTTGGAAGACCAACTGGAAGTACTAGACAGCTGTTACGTCCTAGTTTTGGACTCTTCATCAGTACGCGCCTGCCGGGGCTCGAACTCAGGACCTTCTGGTTACGAGGCGAGTTCGGATCCCAGTGGCTTTATGGTCTACAAGCTGGCTTGCCTTGTAACCAGGAGGTCGTGGGTTAGAACCTCGGTGGGTGCATACTGCTGAAGAGCCTTAATAATTTAATAGAGGACATCATTCAAGACAGCTATGTGCCTAAACAGTTACTCCATGTCACTGAGAAAAAAGTATGTTGAAACCCCTTTCGGGGTATATTTACGTTTTCAGATTGTAACCATGGTGATAAGAAACTGTCAAAATAATAAAGAATGAACTCATAGTATCAGATTCTTGCTTTGTTTAAAAAATACTCACGAGAGAAATTGTATGAATAACACTCAAAACATTAAAAACTGAGCTGCAAATCGTCACTACTATTTCAAAGAACTTAACTTGTTCAGACAGACTTTTAGAGGTGTACATGTTTCACCGCCCAAGCTCTCCCTCCTTTGAGGGGGGATTTTTTTATTTTCATTCTTTTACGTTCCTATTTAGAATGCTCGCCGACCACGCATGTGGTTCGCCGTTCGTTCCCCGGCCGACGCACTCATTCACCTCGCTAAGCCGTTAATAAGGCTCGTAAACAGGGAAGGTTGAGCATGAGGCTAGCAACCTTGTAACAGAAAACACTACCTGCTAAAGAAACTTCAAGCCTCTAGCTTGAAGGTGCCATATGTTCCACTGGGAACGTAAAGAAATAAAAAAGGTTCCTAGTGGAACATAGAGTGTCAAGCTGGAGCTTTGAAATTTGTGTAGCAGTGGTTTTATTTTTACGAGGAGGGGTTAGTAATCTCACGCCCAACCATCCCTCTTCACCGGCTTAGTGAGATTTAGGAGTGCCTCAGCCAGGAATCGAACCCCAGATCACTTGAAGAGTAGTTGGCGAGGACTCTACTGATGAACTGCTGGCGCAACTTTTAGGTGGATAACAGCTCAAATTTATTTTTAACAAAAAGACGAACATACTAAAAATGAAAATGAATACCAGACAGCGGGGTGTTTAAAACTTGAGCTACCAAAAAGACCTCCATCATGGCAGATTGCAAATAATTCCTCTTGTTCACAGTTTGTTTTAATCTATTAAAATATGACCTTGAATGGTGTTTTCTACTCTCGCGAGTATTTAAAATGTCCGCTGTCGTCTGCTGATTTGGAAGTACCTACTAAACTTGAGAAGATACTAACTCGTGGATGGCATTATATCTCTATACATGTAGTAACTGTAACGGAGAAAAAATGTTTGAAAAATCATTCCTTGAAAGTCTAATCACAATATTTATATTTCTTCGGATCTTTCAGCTAACTTTGTAATTACTCTTCGCCTTTCTTCTAGACTGTATATCATGTTTTCTGACGTTTGCATGCCACATGTGTTGATTTGGTCGTTATCACTTGTCTTTGTCCCTTGTTTTGAACCTCCAATTTTGATGTTTCTCTTTGTGGTTGTGCGACTTATTGATACTGTGTTGGTTTACAGAGTGATTTCGTTTTAATGAGTCCAGGTCATTCTGACCTGGGACTGTTAGGGGTATTCTTAAGGGGAATATTCTACCTGATACTAAATGCTCGTTTTGAACCTAGACTGGACTGTATAGCCTAACAGTTATGTTTAGGAAATTTTGAGTTTTTAAAATGTAATTATTCTTATTGTTGCTGAATAGAACGTCAAAATTATTCAAGAAAAATCGTCTTTCTCCTGTCTTTGGAGAGTTTTGTGACTACATGTTTCTCAAGGAAGTGTTTTACCAGCTTTACAGTAGAATGAAGAGATCGATTTCCTGCATTCAGACCATAACAAGTCGGTTTGGGTCGCTGTATCAACTGTCCCTGAGATTTGGTTGCACAAACTGTCACTTACTGAGAAATAAAACCAATCACCTACAGTTTTTCAGAATCGGAAGGGCGAGATACACCTTCGTCAGTCTGAAACCAGTTTGCAAATCTTCTGTTGTCACTCAACATAAGAAACGAGATTCGCATTTTCACCACCAAAGTGAAATCGGTTCTTCTATACGTATCAGAAACTTGGCCAGCGTGTCACGAAAAGGATTTACAACAGGCCACTGCAGACTTTCATCAACAGCTGCCCACTTCACTGGTTAGCTCCATACTGAAGAACAGATGGTCAGGAAGAATTAGCAACAAGAAACCATGGGAATTAACCAACAGGCGAGAGCTGATAGCTGAACAAATATGTAGGAGAAAGTGAAGATGGGTTGATCGGGCTTAAATTCAGGAGGCCGCCGAATGACATCGCACTCAATGCAGGCCATCGCTTGAGTGGAATCCAAACAGGAAGGGACGAGTGAGTCATAAATGCGAGGGGGAGGAAGAGTTGAGGGAGTTTGGTCAATTGTCAACCCAGTTGAAGAGGAGATGTGTTGTTGAGGCCAGCCCTATTTTCCACTCGGAACGCAAGTGAATAATACTAATGGTAACCTACAGTCTTTAATCATTCAGTTATGTCCTAAAGTGTCAAATTGTACTTTCAAATTGTCTTTCAACCAAATCTTGTGGATTTCTCAAGGGACGGAGACAAAGAAGAAATATCATAAGAGGGATTGGTATCATTTTAAGTCAAACAGGCAGTGTGTCAAGACATGTGTCGTCAGTTACTAATTTACTTTAAGGTGTTGAAAAAAGAGAAAATATTATGCAATATATTCCACGCTGATCAGAGACTTGGCACCGTGTCACGAAGTGCACTTCAAACAAACGACAGACTTTCATCAACAGCTTTCTTCGCTCAGTACTTAGCTCAACATCAGATGGCTACCAGAAAAGGTCAGCAACAGGGATCTCTGGCAATGAGCGAACCGACCCAACAAGAACCCAATTTGCTACAAATATTCGCATATGGAGGTGGATTGAGTGGTCATACTCTGAGAAAATAAACCATCAGCAGATGACATCACACGCCAGGCCATAGCTCGAGTGGAACTCGAATGGGAAGCGGCGAATCGGTCGTCAATGCGAGGGTGACATGGAGGACTGATGCAAAGAGGAGATTAAAGCATGTAGGCAGACCTGAAGCCATGTGAAACCGTTGGTAGAGAACCGAACACAGTGGAGACGTTTGGCTGAAGCCTTATATTCCTCTAGGAACTAAAGGAAACAATAATAATAATATTCCACTGAAAATTCTGTCCATTATATAAATACTATTCAGAATAAAGCCTATATTATTATTATAATTCAGTATTATAAATAAATTACTTACGTGTATCTACATCCATTGGTATAACTCCTCGAGGGTTGATAACACTTTCACTATTCACTATTGTACATGTTCCAACTTTACTAACATCAGTATCATCAACATTTTGTCGACCTGATGCTAACAGTTTTGGTCGTACATCTATCCATTTCAAGGCATTACTGTCATGTGATTGTGTCCCACGGATTTCATTGAACATATAAACTATATAGGGTGATGTTGCACCGCCTACAGCATCTTCAGGATTCAATTCAATCGGCACGGCTGCAGTGATTGTAACATTTTTCAGCCTATTCGATGGTCCCATATATTCAATCTGTAGGGTATGCTCAATTTTTGGACCAATTTCAGAGACGAGAACACGTTGTTGTTGACCAGGGATACGTTTCGACGGTGCAGAACGATTATCCATCCTACTAGATATCTCTCCTGGGCCATAAGAGATTCTTATTCGAGGTTTATGTATCACACGATAATTAAATCGGATTGTATTACTAATTGGTTGGGGGTCTGGTGTACCGGTTATCACATTAACGGTGACTCCTGCACCATTCTGAAAGTTTGTATCGTCCTCTGACATGAATTTATCATAATATGTCGACAAGATAAAACGTTGACTCGGTTCGATGATTTCACTTCCAGTATCCGACATAACGACTGGTGCTAGTAATGTCCCGATAGGACAGTGAACCCAAGTTTCATTCTCTGATACTTCAACCATTAATGGTTCTGACTGACTAATGCTGTTACTAGTTCCAGCTTCAGATGTGTCAACATCGAATTCAAGTCGTGAAAATCGCAAATTTCCATGAAACTGTAATTCCATTCGAGTGCCTTGAGCTTTAGTCGGTCCATAATTGTAGATTTCAATTTGTAATTGTGGTCTTGACATATTCGTATTCCCGTATTCGATGTCGATTGTAGTACTGGGTATAGAATCAGCAGTATTGTCCTTAGTACTGTTATTATTATTACTGGTAATAATACCATTCTGATCGATAGCAGATTTCTCTTTATCAATCATATCACCCCAAGCAACAATCTGTCCTGATTGTATATCTTTCACACGTATGCCAACATCACTTTCACACTCTGGCCGTGGATAACAAACATATCGTGACAGGGGGATTTTAGCAATACACTTTGACCAATCAATTATAGGACGTTTTAACCAACCTCCATTTGGACAACTACCATTACGATCGATAACACTTTGATCCCCATAACATGGTTGTAAAAATCGATAGGCCAGGAATACACCAGCTCCAGTTTTATCCGACTCTAAATCATGCATATCTTCAACATTCATTTTCGCCTGTATATTAAATTCAACAATCAACTGGCTCTGTTTCACTTCCAGGTGAGATTTAATTTGACTAGCCAGACTGAAACGTTGTCCAGTCGCCTGACTTGCATTCCAATCTGTATTGATTTGATGAATGAATTTCTGTAGATCTGATGATTGGAAAAAAATATTCCCATCTGATTGATTTACTCGTGAGAGTTTATTCCTCCCACCTTTAAAATATATCATAATTTGAACAGGTATTATATCATTCATCAGAAGATTTCTAATCGCTAACCATGGCGGAAAGGTGAATTGACATTCTGCTGTCCATGTGTGTCGACTAGCGAATACAATAGCCGTTTGACTGGATGCCTGTTTCGATGGTGATATAGGCACTACAAGATCATTCATTCCATTGAAGTCTAAGTCATAAGCACGCGATGGTAGATGAGCACCGAAATCATAAGCTCCAGGTGGACTGGTCAACCGATGTAATGGTGTTCTGTCAAATCGACAATTGGACAGAGTACGTATAATATAGATGTGACTGTAACCATAGGCATTCTTCAAATCAGGTGCACCTACAGCCAACTCGTCATTTCCATCTCCATCGAAATCACCGAGATTAGTCAATGCAAAACCAAAATTTGTTGAGCCTTTTGGACCGTCCAGGTAATCATAAGTTGTCGAGACTTGATGCATATCTGATTTCAAACTGATTCCATGATCTGATTGACAAAAAAGGTATATTCTGCCTCGATTATAAGTCATCGATTGAGTTGTAGTATCTGATTGATTTTCCGTTTTCTCAATATCACCTGCATATGGAGCACCCATAACAACACTTTTAATATACGGCCCCTTCAAGTGTACTCTCAACACAGACATACCATTTCCAGAGAATTGATCTGACCTGCTGGTTTCAGGGAACCAATCCACTGTTCCATAGAAACCATTTGTTGACTCTCTAGACGATTTGGCCAAGTGGATACCAACTAAATGAATAGGATTTGTATAATTCCCATCTTGACGACTAAGTAGACCAGGAGCTGTGACGAAATCTTCTGTCAGAGCATAACCAAAAAATGAACCAATAGCCATACTTTCAGTATTTTCTGGTCTAGGTATCGTGATCAGCTTCATTGAACCATAGAGATCCGTTAATATTTGAATACGTCCATGTGGTGTTGACAATGGTTCACCAACCCATAGTCTAACATTCGATAAGAGATTAGCAACAGATTTTGACGTTTTTACAATGTTGTCGTTACCCATCGAAAGAGCAACACTTTGACCTGCTGCACATGGTGTAGCGACTTGCATTCCTGTTTGACAAAAGTCGGCTAACTCCAGACTTGGTTGAACTTGTCCATTGCGTACAATATGCGAGAAACATCTACCCACAGGGACTTTTGAACCAGCTCTCCATAAAGGATCACAATATACAAACAAACTAAGATCTTGGTTGATTTTTAATGCTTCACTTGACGCTCCAAGAAATTCATGATCCTTCACACTGCTAGTAGAAGTTTGTTCTAACAGGGTACACGGATTCTCATTAAATCCAAATCCCAACAGGGAATCACGATCAGATTTCAGATCTAAATGGCACAGAAATACATGACTATTTTGTCGTGGTGATACAGTGTCACTCAGCTCCAGGGAATCTGGTTGCTGACGTCGAAATGATCCACCGAGGAGGATATGTCCACGTTTAACACGTTCTGAATTGAATATACTTATACTAGTCCATTCGAATTGATCATTGATACCAGGCAGTTTGTTGGAATAAGGTTGAAATTGTTTAAATTCGCGTGTATCACATTCTTGTATTGGTTTGAAATCGGGCCATACTTCCAATGGAGTTTTTGGTGACCATAGTTCAGCTCTTGAGGCATCATATTCCCACTGATTATCAGAATATGATTTCTCATTTAGTGTATGCGATGTATCGTCTAAAGGCGATGAATCACTACTCAAAACCAATTGAGTTAAGAACACATGATAACACAGTATTAATATGATTTTGACATATTGACAATGCGAATAAGAATAATAATATGGCTTAGTTATCCACATTACTCATTAATTATTGAGAATGAAATGTAAGTAGATATGTATGTATGTATGTATTGTGTCTATATGTGTCTGTGTGCGTATGTATATATGTGCTATGTTATCCAATGATAATAGTAACTATGCAAATTATTGATCCGATTCTAATCTAGACGTATCCTTTTTATTTTAGTAATAATAAAATAATGACGGCAACATTTTCTTTCACAACAAAAAATCAAATGTGTGTGTTGTCTGTTAGAGAGGAAAATATCGATGAGATAAACTTCTGAAGAGAGATTTTGTGAAAGTTTTAATGCGTGTTGCGACAGTGTTGTACGCCTATTTATTTGTAGAGAAATAACCTCGGACACACACCATTTTGGATATATGTTAGGAAATACTTGTATATTAGCCAATCAGATGGCAGGAAAATACTGCAATCTGATTGGCTGTTGATATCATCTTGTCTCCAGGCGACTTATTGGCATATTTTTAAGGGTTGTTGATAGGCGTTTATTTTTTGTTGTTGTTGTATTTATCACGTACACAATATAAGTATGTTTAAGACATTGGTGAGAAAGAACACAAAAATAAATAAACAAATAAATAAAAAAATACTTTCTCTGTGTTTTTTAATTGTGAATTACATATGCAAATCAGTTATTGTGATTTTTATTACGTCAGGTGAATATAAGGACATCTCTGATGGTTTTTGGTGAATTAATTAGATTTAGTACAATAAGAATTGTAGAAGAGAAGATTTGGACTTCATGGACGATTTATGTTTAATGTCACACACACACAGACACACAAAATCAACGATCTATGGACGAAAACCTATGGTTGTCTAACTGATGAAATCCTCTAACCAATAAAACAAAATCCCTACAAAAACCAATACATAAAAAATTAATCCGATACTCACTAGCGACTGGACCTATTCAGGCAGTTAAACTAGGGTTCCAGTGGGAAGCCGTGACCAGTAGGGTAAAGCAGGTCGAAGGTGAGGACAGTTACTCATTGAAGAAGACAGTGCGAAGTAGTCGCGCCATGTCGTGAATCGGTAGAATTTAGAATTCATGTCCTGGCCATTGGATGGGGTTTCAGTAGTGACTTCACGGTCTACGAGCTAGCCCATAAGGTCCTGAGTTCGAACCCTGGAGGCATTGGGTGCTTACTGATGGAGAGTTCCAAACTAAAATGAAACAGCTGGCTGTCCAGTGCTCTTTGCAGGTTCTCCACTGGTTCTGCAACTGATGTCAGTTCATGATGAAACCCTCCAACGAAAACCAATAAGTTGTCAGAAGTGATTGACGAAAGAGGTAAGAATCCAAGAGGAAATATCGGAGATATAGAGGTAAGGGAGATAACTAACCAACCAACCACAGTAACAAGCACCAATCAAAATCAACGCAAGATATTTGAAAGAGGTTACTTCCTTCGCGTTTCTAGAAGGCATCGCTTCAACTGTAAAAGAGCGGAACGGATAAAGATGTCTGTAGCAGAATCGGAAAGACAAGGCACACCTTCATCATTCCGAAATCAGTGTGGAAATTTTCTGCACTAACTCACTATAAAGAACAAGATTCTGGTTTTCAACTGCAATATTAAGTCAGTCAGTTCTTTTGTATGGCTCAGACAAATGGCGTTCACTTCACGAAAAGCATTTCCAACAGGCTCTACTTCGGAATTTCACCAACAACTGTCTTCTCTGGCTCCATACTGAAGATCAGACAGCCAGAGAGAAAGAATTGGCACCAGAAAACTGTGGCTGGGAGCAAACCGAAAGGCGAGGGCCCATTGCTCAGCAAATATGTAGACGTTGAAGGATTTCATCATGAGCTGACATCAGTTTCAGAACCATTGGTAAACCAACTAGGGAGTATTGGACAGCTAGGTGTTTCGTCCTAGTACTTGGGACTCTTCAGAAGTACGCAGCCATCGCTGCCAGGGTTTGAACCCACGACCTTCTGGTTACAAGTCAAGCGAGCTAGCTCATAGACCATTAAACCACAAAGACCGAATCCAATGGCCGCCGGCCCATGAATTCTAACTTCTGCCAATTCACAACTTAGCGCGAGCACTTAGAAACGTCTTCTTCGATGAGTAACTGTCCTCACCTTCGACCTGCTTTACCCTACTGGTCACGGCTTCCCACTAGAACCCAAGATAACTACTGCTAAGCTGAATAGGGCTAGTTGCTCGTGAGCATCAAATTAATTTTCAAGTATTAGTTTTGGAGAGATATTTTTTTGATTGGTTGGAGGATTTCATCATGAGCTGATATCAGTTAGAGAACCATTGGATAACCAACCAGAAAGTTCTGGACAGCCAGATGTTTCGTCCTAGTTTCGAACAAACCCCAGTGGGTGCGTACTGCTGAAGAGTCCCAGTAGGTTTTCCAATGGTTCTCTAACTGATGTCAGCTCATGATGAAATCCTCCAACCAATCAAACAAACAAAATTCCTACAAAACCAGGACTTGAAAATATGTAGAAGAAAATAGAGATGGATTGGATACACGCTGAGGAGACCGCCGAGTGACATCGTGCTCTCAGCAGCTCATCGCCAGGTGAAGGAAGGAGGTCATGAGGCCCACCTCTTGTTAAACTGATATCAATAATTTTCAGTTTTAGAGAGTATATTGGTAGAGCCTGTTGACCACTTAACTTATTCGGGAAGTGCTCCTGACCCTATTCGACTGACTGATTGATGAGGAAATCTCAGAGCGGATACAAAAGACTAGTCAAACATTAGCCAAAATGGTATCACCCCTGGCTTAGTAGACGTGATATCCGACTATCAATCAAAGGACTGTTCATTCTGTCATCCTTTAAGTCTGTCAGATATGGTAAGTGAAGGTAGAAGATATCAAGACGCCAAATATCTTTGACCGCAGATATTTGCATTCTGTCCATTGCGTTAAGTAGTATGGTTTATTGAGTAATATTGAGGTTAGACCTGCAGTTTCAGGTGACAGAGACGTAAGTCAATCTATGGGATTCCGAAGCTAAATCACTGTTACAAATTTCCCTTTTATAAGTTTGTACAAAGAAGGAAACAAATATTGGTGCAGAATAACATGGGTCCATTTTATTTCATACATTTATTCCCCTCAATGAATTTGAATAAAGCAAGAACAACAGTGTTATTTGCAGAATAAAACTGTACCAACATTGTCTATTTCGTTTGAATTTACTGAAAGCCTACTTGGAAAAGACAGTACCCAAATTTTAATAGTTTTTGTCTAAATAGCTTTAAACGTGGACTAGTCAAGACTCTGCACTATAGAGCGAGGAGAATGTGCTCTATAGAGAAATTAGAGGAAGAATTTCAGTTTATTGAAAAGATATTGAGGAGGAATGGGTACCCTCAAAGGTTCATCAATAAGTATGGAAGATGTGAAGTCACATCACAGTTGGAAAATAGCCAATCTACTTGCAGCTTGACTATAAAGGTGAAAACATTGCAGCGATAATCAACAGAAGGCTGGGCACATCACTAGCCATAGCCTATCCTGCAGCTAAGCTCGTTCCCTTCTATCGAACAACTTGCTCTTTGATGCAATCAAAAATCGATGGATATCCTTCTCATGTTAACTCCAACTGTATATACAAATTAACATGTATCTGCGGGAGCACTTCATATCAAGTGGAATCAAAATTGCCTGAATAGGAATGGTGGACTAAAACAGAATCTGACCTGGTTACAACACCTCCCTCCCCCACCAAGTGACAAAATCAACACGAATGTGATAAGCAAGTTCACTGTGTAAACACACACTACTTTTATAATTTTACACACCGATCAAGTCCAACAATCCACACTTGATTTTGTTATCTTTACCATCTGACCAACTTGACAACTTAAAATTCCCCCAGACAGACGAACGATGATCAAGTTAGTAAACTTTATTTTGATATCATAACAGACGTACTATTACCTTAGTTATTTGGTTTAGTTATCTTCATTGCTATTTTTACTTTCAATATGTCCCTTTAACTTGACCTAACTTGTCTATTTTCTCACCCCCTAACTGTTTGTTATATATGTGCTGAGATTTTGTAAATTCCTGTTTAATAATACTTTGATAAAGCTATTAGCATTAAATAGTGAAACGTCAGTAAAAACAATATCGTTTTGTTTTTCATTCATTGGGAAATACAAAAAAGCCTTTATTATAATGAATATCATATACCCAATGCCCAAATTTTTTCAAACCGTTAAAAGTGAACTTGGTTTGGACATATATAAAATAAGAGTCAGTGTAAAATTTAACATTCTATTGTCATCAACAAGCATATTATAGGAGGGTCATGGTGAGGTGAAACATCAGGACAGCAAAGTAGCTGACGTCTAAGGATATATGTACATTATATCTTGTTAGAGAGAAGTTTCTAAAGAATTAATTGAAAAGTTTGTTGTTAAGGTGGTAACAAAAAAATTAGTAACAGTTACATATTTAGATAAAAGAAGATCAAAATTTGGTATGCAAGAGGTCAGATGAAAAGGTGATGATGTAATATGGTGAGTATAACTCATAAGCTAAAGAGAAATTATCTCTTATAGAAGTCAAACTGAAGAAAGGAAACCAGGGTGGTGCGTTGAAAAGATAAGTTAATGATGTTAGAAGACCCAGATTTATTAAGGGATAAGTCACCAGGGTGATTGAATTCTGACGAAAGATTCCTTTTGGACACATAGGTCAGGTTTCAGTCGTTTTATTGAGATTACCTCAGCAAACTGAAGAAGACTTGTGTTATTTAGTCTGTTAATTATTTTGAATGATTCCATTGCGTCTACTCAGTGTCCAGTGTCTATCAGGTGTTTGGTAATTGAAGAGTTTAAAACTACTTGGCCTCTTTAATCAGAAGCTCCTTGTTACACGTTCAAGGTATCTGACGTAGGTCCTTCTTTCTGTTCTTCCAATGTAACTGCTACCACAGATACATGTGAGTTGGTACATACAGTTGGAGGTAACAATAGATGAGGGGTACTTGCCTATCATTGACTGCAAATCG